AGTCTCATTTATAAAGATTCAGTGTGTGTCACTAAATTTAGAGGTGCCAGTTAAACACCAGCAATTTTAACATTAATCCGTAATTTTTTTTAAAAAAATTAATCAAATATAATACAAATTAGTTTAATCAAACACGACCTCTTCATTGCATATTTCTTGATATGCAAAGCAATCTTTAGGAGCTAATTAACCCTCTCTTAAATAGTAAATAATCCCAACTGTACTAGCTGTAGCTTGGTTCCTCCTATAAAGGACCTGCATTTCACATTTCTATGCACAGGTGAATCTCAGCAGTAAGAAAATCACCTGCAGGATAAGTCTGTGTGTTGTTCCTTATCTTTAAATTTCACAGAAAACTATTATATATCAATATATGCTATTATTTTTTGTATCATAAGTGCTGCCATTCTTCTAACAGTGTAGGAAACATCACCCTGGCAGAGACAGATATACCAAACTAGCAAAAAAAACACTGAAGAAAAACAAGAGCAGAAACATGTTTCCATGGAATCTACATTCAGCCCACAAAAAAATTACACTTCCTTTTGTGAAGCATGGATGTATTAGAAGGATATTAAGATCTTGATATGAACAATTAAGGATAAGTCAGATCTTGCATATCCTATGATCTTCAGCATTTGGTATTACCTCATACTACTTATCCGAACCGCTCACCTCAAGCCCCTTCTATTGTTCTGCTATTAAGTAGGTATGTTGGTAGTTTATTTCATGTCATGATGTTATAAATATCACCCCAGCATTACAGACCATATATTACAAAAATATTCAATTTCACATAATGAAATGAATGTAATTCATGTAGTAACACAACTGACATCAATGGCTTCCACAACTGGAAATCGATGGATCATTTTATGTTGTAGCCTTACACAACTGCACATAGAATTATTCAACTAATTTCTTTGATTTATATTGTTTAGTGAGTAAAAGCTAGATCTTGTGCAGAAAATAATGCTCCATTTTATGTTCACACTTCTGTTCATTGAAATAGATCTCGAAATTAGATGTGGGATTTTAGACTTTTCAGTTTCACACAGCAATTCACAAATTTTAACAGGCATAGCTGAACACATAGCTACAGTTCTGATTTTAAACACTGCTATTCTTATAAAATAGCAGCATATTTCTGTGATGTTGGCTGGACTACTTCCAAAACACTCAGCCAGGTGTAACCATTCTTTAGCCTCATTTTTTTTATTTTTAGATGAACACTACAGGTTAAATCAGACAAATGTGAACTTTTTTTCTAAAAATTCTTGAAGTCAGCAGTACAAAACTCCCCTTCTGAAAAGTCAGTAAGATAACAGGATAGATAAGACAGATGAGATAAAAATAGTAAAAGGACAGGAACATGCAAAGAAATTAAGAAATTAAATGTTATTATTTATAAAAGTTTGACACATTTTAAATGTTTCATATGGATAAGAGATTCATATTGTCCCTTCCCCCTTTTACATCCCTCTGCCATCCACACTTGTGGTTCCTAAATATGCCTTCTTCCACAGCGCAGCCTGATTTTCTGTATGTCCTTTATGAGGTTGCTCTGATAAAAGCTCTATACTGGAGATGGTAGCAAAACTGCAATTATATTTAATATTTTGTTGCTATGTTTTTTGATTTAGTGTGTTTTTTGAAGACATCAACTCCAACCTGCCTGGGCTTGTTAGGTGAAACATGGCTAAACTGCCTCCAGGGACAACTCAAGTCTGAAAGCATCTCAGCTACTTTCTCTCAACCTGAGCTCAAAATCTCCCACAGGTGAAGCTCCTTGTAATGCTCAGCTTCAACACCTCCACACTATATTCCCAGTATTGGCTGTGTTTAAGGAACAGTAAGGGAAAATCAGAGAGCGGTTTGCTCCAAGCTAGCCTCCGAGATCAGGCTGGCACCACAAGCAGCCCCTGGGTGATGTCTGGGCCACCCCACCACATTCCCCATTTGGGCTCTTTGAGGACCGATTAGCCCCAGCCTCACACAAACGCCCAGACTGCAGTCTCCCACGCAGCGCTCAGGGCTGGAGGGTCCACTGCAGACATACACGGACAACCAAACATCATTCACTGCACATTTCATGTGCAACGTACATGCCTGTTGTCAGTTCTCGGCACCAGGTTCCCCACCCCCGTACCCCGCGCTCGCCCTTTGCCAGCCCTGCCCACGCTCCCCAGCAGAGACCATCCTCTCCCCGGGGAACGCCAGCAGCACCCTGCTCACCGCCCTGCGGCACGCTGCCACACAAACCACCTTTTCCAGTTCCCTGAACACAGGCTCTCCATATCTTCCCAAAGAGATAACGTGAAAATTCACAGTTCTTTCTCCCCAGTTTGGCTTGTGTCTGTGCTTTTTTATTTCTTTCAGGCATCTCTAATCAGGGAAACACCAGCACAGCTCCAGGATGAAGACCCCCTTTCCCTCTGCGCCTCCTCCATACCCCGATTCACTCCCTCCGGGCCCTGCCCTTCTCTCCCCAGCTCAAACTGAAGGGCACTGACACGTTCTTCTCTAACAAGAAAGATTAAGCAAAACCTCTTCTTCAACATACAGGCTACACCATCTAGCAGTATGTGGAACTGGAGGGAAAAGAAAAAAACCAACCCACTGAAGTCATGGCATTTCAGAAATGCTCTGACCACTGTCACATTTCCAGAAGGAACCTGACCAGGGCAGGACATTTCCGACTGCATGAAGAAAGGTTGCTACAGCCGAGCCCTGCAGTTACTGATGCCAACACCCACCACAATACGGTGTCGGTCCCGTTCTCTGCACAGACCCGGGGGTACCGGCACAACCCAGGGAGATGCCCCGTGTCCAAGAACGGGGCAAGAGCCCTCCCTGCCCGGGCGATGGAGAGGCCGGTACCGGGCTACGGCGCGCACACCCAACCAGCCGCCCCGGCGGGCCCAGCCCGGCGCCCGTCCCGAAGCCCCGCTCCGGCCCCGCCGCGCCCGCCC